AGGGGGGGGGGGGGGGGGGGGGGGAGAGGAATGGGAAAAGCAAACATCCAATGGGACATCCTTCAGCATCGGAAGTAATCAATGCCGTCCACTCGAATCTCCTTACCATAAAGAGGAGAAGGGTTGGTGTGAGTCCATGACGTATTCTGGACTTGCTGATGGAATAGGAATGATGACGACGATGATGATGATGATGATGATTATGATGAAGGACACACTAACGGTTAATAGGTGGTGTCATTTTCAGCGAAATTTTCACTGACGATAATGATGATGATGATGACAAAGGACACACCAATGGTTAAAATAGGTGGCGTCATTTTCAGCGAAATTTTCACCAAAACTGCCATATTTGCCTGAATTTTTGCTTTTTATCTTGTTGTTTTTTATTGTGTGCGTGATATGTATGTGCTTTAGGGTATTATCTATATGTATTCAGATTCGACATATTTGGCAAACGCCGAATTCGGGGGGAAATTTAGGCGAACGCCGAAAGCTGGTCCAGAAACGGTTTTATAGTGCTTTCGAGTTTTTTTTTCTTCATTTTTTTTTCGCCTGTCTTTGTTTTTGTTTGTATTATGAGCCTGCATTGTTCGTTCGCGGCGGAATTTTCGACAACATTGCTTGTGAAAGGCATTCCACGATCCAGAACCCAAATTTGCAATGACTTGCTGGTTCCAGGTTGCCTGTCGCCTCACTCTGACGAGGCTGTACCATGGTTAGGGACAGATTCGTAATTTTGTTTGGCTGAGAACTAACCGAGAGACACAGTGGGGGCTGACCCTTTTGGGCCATCTTATCATGTGGATGTCCCACTGCATCTACAAACCTACCCTGTCTTTCATGCCTCTAAGCTGTTGCGTTTGTTCCAGATGATGCATTTCCTGACAGGCCTCCTCAAGTTGGTCCCCCGATCCCTGGGAAGGGATATGAGGTGGAGAAAGTTGAGGACGAGTATGGTACAGGCCCGGATAAGGAGTACCTTGTGAAGTTTCTCTACCAGCCCCATACTGAGGATCGTTGGTTTACTCGCAAGGAGCTTCTGAAAACAGCAAAGTCTGTTATCCTCAAATATGAGGCTGCGCAGAAGGGAGAACCCCTTCGACGCTCTGCACGCCTACGCCCCTAGCTCGGAGGTCCTCGCTCCGGGGGAGGGTAGGTCTGCAATGACTTGCTGGTTCCAGGTTGCCTGAAGCCTCACTCTGACGAGGCTGTACCATGGTTAGGGACAGATTCGTAATTTTGTTTGGCTGAGGACTAACCGAGAGACCTGACTGTATGGAAAATTTGTGAGGGACATATCTGTAAATATAGAAATATGGGCCCAGTACTAACTCGATTTTCCTACAGCTACCCTAACTGTGAAAAGCAGACCCGGGCTACCCCTAGGACAGACAGGCCCTATGGGCCTATGCTGATAGACGGCCCTATAGCCTATAGCCGGGTAGGGAGAGGCCCTAGAGGCCGAAACAGAAACGGTACCGGTCGGTCAGTCAGTCCGGTCTAGGTCGGTCTAGGCTAGTGTTAGAGTCTAGATAGGATGGGGACATCGGTCCTGGGCTTTTGGCAGTTGACACGTCATGGTGGAAGTTGCTGCGCACACGGTATCCGGTCGTGGTTGCTGATTCCCGTGGTGGAGACGGCGGACATAACCAGACCTTCGGAACGCTGACCAGACTGGGGTCAACGCTGTCCACTCTGACTCTCTGGGAGTCAAAGCGGTCTGGGCTATCAGAGGTCTGATGCGTTGGAGCACGTGGTGCACTGCTGACCCTCCTCAGGAGTAGGGTCCCAGTGGCGATGCAGCCATAGCTGCATCTTCTCAGAGATATCATCGTCTGGACTTCATCTTCATCAGGGACTGTTGGCGCTGAGCTTCTTCTTCATCATCTGGGTGGCGATTGGCTCTGGGATCCTGTTTCACTTTGGTGCAGGCCACGGAGTTGGATGTCAGGGTGGCGCTGGGTGTTACCTGGGGTTTCAGTGCTATTTTTTAGCTGTTCAGGGTGTTGGGGTGGAGGCGCTGCACCTCTGAGAGTGGCGCAACAGGGTTCTGAGGATATTCAGTGAAAACCATGCTCCGAGTTTAATAAACAGTTGTAATACTGTGTTCGAGTTGTCATCTCTTCATTGGTTTCTGGCTGTGATCACTCGGTTGTCTTCTATGAATGATTGTTGGGATTACTGTGGAGAGAATTCACTGCACATGTGTATTCTGTCACTTCGCTTCTCTGAGTCTTCCGCTGCGTTTCTTTTCTGAGCAGTGTGACCCTCCACTACCTCTCCCCTTCCTTCTGTGCATGTATGGGCGTGTACGGGAGTTCCTGTGAGCGAGTGTTGATAAAATTTCAACAGACAATCATGTTCATAACAAATTCGTATCTGAGGGTCACAGTCTCAGGCCATAAGGAGCCAAGTCGGCCCGTTTCAGAAAAGTCACAGTCGGGTACCCCAGGGGGCAAATCCAACAGGTACCCGTTGGAGAGTCACATCCCAAAGGCAAAAGTTGCATTTCGTAAGCAAAGGTCACGTCTCACATTGAAAGGTCATACATATCCCACAGGCAAAGGACACTTCTCCTTGGCATTCTGAAGCAAACGGGTCATGGGCACGTGGTACCAGATCCAAGTCAAGCCAAACGAAGCCAAGGCTGGTACGAGTCCAGGCTCAGTGCAAGTCAATATAAGGACTGGCCAGCCACATTTGAGACAGATTACTCATTCGTGACAAGTGTGGAAGTGCGGCTGCAGCGCTTGTGCGCTATGCGAGTGGCATGCACGAGAGCCCTGCTGGGCAGCGCTGTGTGAGGAAGGAAGGCGGCCATAGCCACATAGCTAGTAGTAGGATACCGAGCCAGGTAGTAACGGATGTATTCAGAGTCTAGATCTTCGAGTAGAGAGAGAGAGTGAACATGCATGAACAAGAGAGAGAGAGAGAGAGAGAGAGAGAGAGAGAAAGAGAGGGGGGGGGTGGGGGGGGGTTGGTGAGGGGAAGAGAGTGAGCCAGAGGAGGAGAGTGAGTCACCTACCTTGTGAGAGGATGCTGGATATGCGTTTCCGAACTCTGCACTGATGAGCGCTTGGTGATTGGAACTCCGCAACTGTTCAATATGATAATTTGTTGGACTTTCTGAGCTGCGCTATTCTGGGCTTTGCATCTCTGGTCTCCAGTGTGGACTTTGTGTGACCTCTCAAAGTGTGTGTGTGTGTGTGTGTGTGTGTGTGTGTGTCCTCAAGGTGTCCTCGAGGTGATGAGCAGAGAGGCTCAATGCACATGTGGTGATGTGGGGAGAAACCGCGAATTTCGTGCTCCATTAACCATGTCTCAATGGACGGGACACGAACACAGTGTTAGCGAAAAAAAGGTGACGCCTTCTAGAAATTGTCTTTCTAGAACACGGGACAACCATTTTTTGCTGCGGACAATTCAGCGCATCGCTCGCCAATCAGACACACAACTCGTCAGGGTTGTAACCCCCGACGGTTGGCGGCCCTTGACTGGTCGGCACCTACCGCTCGGGGATCATCGGCACCCCGCAAAAAATAAAAAATAAACAAAATTGTTTTTTTTTGGGCGGGGGGTCCAGAACCCCTAATAACACCACCAACACCCCCATAGCGGCCCCCAATGGGGTCCAGAACCCCTAATAACACCACCAACACCCCCATAGCGGCCCCCAATACCCCCATACACCCCCCTGACACCTCATTGCCCCCCCCAATACCCCGTATATCACCCCTATACCCCCCCCTATACTCCAACCCCAATCCCCCCATCCCCAAAGCTTTCTCAGCGGATTTGGGCTGCACTAACAAGCGCAGCACAGCCCCCAACTCAGATTTGAAAAAAAGTCAGTGGATGGCTGTTTTCTGACTGATCGGCAGACCGCCGACCGGTCGGCCCTACTGCTCAGCTGCAATACGGTCGGCGGTCGGCAGGGATGCAACCCTGCAACTCGTCACAATAAAAAAAAATAAGAAATAAAACAATCATTGCACATCATCGCACCGAAAAGGACCAAGCGTCTTCTACAAAATGGGTAGCAATCGCCCCTGACCTCACTTTCTTGGCCACAGCTTGAGGGTCCTTGTTGCTCTCAATTGTCTGTCAAGCAACGACCAAAACACAAAGCACAGAGATGAAGAAACACCTGATCACAAATGTATACAAGCCTTCTCTCTGCTCCGCTGTATTCACGACGAGGACTACAACTACCAGAAAAAGTAGATAACAAATGAAGAAACAACTGACCACACTCGTACGCAATCAGAAAACTTCCAAACAAAACGGTTTTTTTTTCGTTTTGTTTATTACAGCAAAAAAGAGGAATAGCCATAAAACCTAGGCTACCAGTCGTCCGATGCCAGGCCGTCCTCTGCCCGGACAGTCAGAGGGGTCCCGGACGTCCGGGCCCGGACAACTCCATTTTCAGCACGAAGAAAAGATTGAAAAATTGGCGGTGTTTTTTTTTTTTTTTGTAATTAAGATTGGGTGAAGAATTTCGATGTGACCCTAAAGCAAAAGTTGTTCAGTTTATTTTTCTGCACAACATAGTCTGTTTTGTTTTTTTTTTTTTAGCATCCAGTCTCGGACAGACTGCCCCGGGAGGACGTCCAACCAATTGTCCGAACCGGACAACCTGGGACATCCGGTCCCGTAACATAGCATAAAACAAAGAGGCTTAAGAGCTTTTAGCCTTTTACATACCACATCAAATGAAGCTTTTCACCTTTTTTTTTCTAGGCTACCAGAGTGACCCCGGACCACTTGGCCGGAAGAGCCAAAAAAAAAGTAAAAAGATATTTAAAAAATATACATTTATTTTTTATTTTAAATTTGGTAAAGAATTTCTATGTGACCCTGAGGCAAAAGTTGTTCAGTTTTTTTTCTGCATGACAAAGTTTTTGTTTTCAGATTTTTTTACTTTTTTTTCTCAGCTGGGACCTACCCGGGTCCTTGCTTGGCCGGGGCGCCTGGGAAAACAAGGTGACCCACGCCGCCCGGCTGGTAGCCTAGCTTTTGTTTTGAGTTTTTTCTCTTTTAATTTCTTCCCTTTTCCAAGAAAAAAGATGAATTGCCAGACGACAATAACATCCGATAAACTAAATAGACAAAATATTAATGCAACGACTTGCTGGTTCTGCTGACCTCTAGCCCATCGAGTCAAGGCTGTACCATAGGTAGGTCTGATTTGTAATTTTGTTTGGCCGAGGGCTAACTGCGATATCTGACTGTGAGGAAATTCGTGAGGGACATATCTGCAAATTCGAGAACTTATAGGCCTGCACTAACCCGAATTCACTACAGGTACCCTTACTGCGAATAGCAGGCCCGGGCTACCCCTAGGACAGACAGGCCTTAAGGCCTAAACTGCTAGACGGTCCTATAGCCTATAGCCGGGTAGGGAGAGGCCCTAGAGGCCAAAACTGAAAGGGTACCAGTCGGTCCAGTCAGTCCGGTCTAGGTCGAGTCTAGGCTACGGTAGAGCTATTAATAGATTGTAGTAATCTGCTCGGGGCATTTTGGGCAGTTCAGTCATTCGGCACTGGAGTTGTTACTGGCGAGAGACTATTCACTGCTGCTACGCGTGGGAGCACACGAGAGACGTCGACCATAGCCCGGTCCTTGGAGAGGCAACCATAGCTGGGGACTCCTCTATCCTCCTGCAGTACGTTGGGACTGTCAGGAGACGGGGGCTATTTGGAGGAGGTCTGCTGGCAGCTTCGAAGTGGTGGGCTGCAGCCATAGCTGCAGCAAGTGTTCTCAGGGGTCGTCTTCTCCATCAGAAAGGGTGGCGCAGCTCATCTGGGAGGTCATTGGACACTCCATCTCCATCGGACACTGTGGCGCTGATCTTCTTCTTCATCTGTTGGGTGGCGCAGGTCCTCAGGAGGCCTTATTTGAGTGCCGATTATTGTTTCAGGGTCCTGGGGAGAGTAGCGAAGCTACTCAGTAGAGGTGGAAGAAGCACTGCTCCCTCAGAGCAGCGCTATATTGTTCCGGGACAATTTCTGATGTGACGAGACTCTTATATTGTGTATTTTGCTATTTCAGTGTTCATTGAATCTCTGGATGTGATCTACTCGGTGACTCTCTTGTGATTGGTAGTGAGGAGACTGTGGATGATCGCACTGTCAGGGTGATGATCATGTTGCATGGCCAAGTCTTCTGCTGCGCATATTTCTCCTGTGTGGCGTGATGATTCCTCTTCCTCTCCCCTTTCTTCTGTGTGTGTACGGGCATGCATGGGAGACTCTTGTGTGTGAGTGTTGCCGAAATTGACAACAAGCCAAGTTCATAACATTACTAATATTATATACTTCAGTTAAATTTACTAATAGAATTAGATATATTTAATTACATAATCCTCTGGGCTACGAAACGGGCCGCACGGGTCACCTTGGTTGACCGGGCTGCCCCAGCCGGGTAAGGGCCAAGGAAGGTCCCTGCCAAAAGAAAAAGAAACACAAAAAAAAAAAAACGAAAAATCTGGAGGTAAAAAAAAAAACAATCCTACGCAGCAAAATAAACCAAACAACGTTTACCTCGGGGTCAGATCGAAATTCCTTACCAAATTTAAAATGAAATTCCAATATATATATGAACCGACAGTCTGCTTTGACTTTTGCCACAGGTACCTTGAGGGCAGTACCTCAGGGTACCAGTTGTCGGGCAGTCGTTGATGCTTAACCACAGCCGGGGTTAAGGTGGACTATCACTTACAGTGTAACCAGTTAGGGGATTCCACAAACTGTTGAGGGTTCAGACTCCTGATGAGTCGGTGAAACTCCGACGAGAGGGAGAAGAGGACAACAAACGAGGGGCTGTGGCAAACTGTTTCGTCGGAGTTTCACCGACTCATCAGGAGGCTGAACCCTCAACAGTCTGCAGAATCCCCTAACTGATTACACTGTAAGTGATAATCCACCTTAAACCCATCTGTGGTTAAGCTTCAACAAATATATATATATTGTCACATMACTACAAACTAAAAGAGCGCACTTTGCGGAACAAAGAATAAAAGCAAAAAACGGGCACAATGATAACATGCAAAAATAAAAATAAAAACAAAAACAAAAAACAAGGGCAGATTGAAACCATTAAATTTCTCATTCTTCTTTGGAACTCCACCTCCACTGTGCCTCTCACGTGTATATATATATATACAGGGTTACCTGACCGAACGTACGGGGGCCCCCGGGCTGGCCCCCGAAGGTTCGGGCATTCGGGGTCCCGTTCGGGGGCCGAACACCTCCAGGTTCGGCCCCCGCCAAAAAAAAATTCGGGGCCTAAAAATAAGTTTTTTTTTCTGAATTTTTTTTTGTGAGTTCTCTATGATGTAGCCTAAACGCCTATAAAATTTGAAGCCATTCTGCTAAGCCAAAAAAACATTAAAAATCGTCAAAGATGGGGGTGTCAAAACGTGCTCGCCCACTCACTATTTCGTTTTTTATCACTTTTAACTTTTTGTTTTCACTTTATTTCGGGGCCTAAAAATTTTTATTATTTTTTGAAAAAAAATTAACGAGTTATTGATTATGTAAACAAGTGGACCCCGCCTCGGCGCACAGCAACGCTCACTGATGGCGTCTTATTTTTGTTTCATGTCTCTTTCTCTCTCTCTCTCTCT